TGTCCTCGTCCCGGCCGGCGCCTTACTTGGCTTGGCGTCGTCGTCCGGGGAGCCCGAGCTGGCGTAGTAACGTCGCAGACATGGAGCAATCCTCGAGGGCGTGCTTGACCGGCCTTGGTGATAAGGGCATGGTTTCTTGAGCATGTCATCGAAAGGCCTAGGGCCTTTGGGGCCTCGGGATTCTTGCGTTCTCGGCCCCGACAAGATCAACCCCATGACCTCCTACTTCCCTAGGCGCCTTTTTTTTTCTCTTAGGGAGGTGGGAGGCCGAGGCGCCGGGGCCTCGTCCCTCCGCTTTCCCTTGGCGTCATTGTCGGGAAGATGGCACCGATGGCCTCCTCGCCCGAGGCGGTTGGTGGCGATGTCGAGGGCCGCAGCAGCGGTCTGCGCGCACGTTCCGACCTAGCTCCCGCACCAGGTCCCGGCAGGTGGTGCCGAGAGAAAAGCTGGACGATCTCCGAGTCGCCGACGCTGGGGCAGCTCGGTGCCTTTGCTTGGAGAAGCGCCGGATGAAATCTCGGAGAGACTCGCTTTGGTTTCGCGGCAATTCTTAAGGTCCCAGGAGTTTCCGGACGTGCGTCGTCGCTTCTCGAAATTCCCAACGAAGACCCTAACCAAGTCGCGCCCGAATCGTGGATCTGTGAGGGGAGGGAGGTGCTCGAGCCAGGCTCGCGCCGAGTCCGACAAGAGCAGGGAGGTTACGGATGATGAGCGGTCATCATCCGCGCCACCTAGTTGGCGAGCCAGTGCGTGGTCGGCAAGCCGAGTTCGGGTTGGTCTCACCGCCAGTATTTCGCGAGGTTGGTGGTTGCCGAAAACGGGCCGAACCGGGCGACATGGATAGCTCTGCTGAAGACTCGAGGGCGCCGTGGCTCGGGAGAAGGGCTGCGGTCTTCCTCGGTCGTCGAAGCGGCTACCTCGGTGCACATGGTAGCCTCGGGCGGGCCCCTCACCGTCGTGGCGTCGTCGTTGGCCGACCACCTCGTGGTCTCCCTGCCTCGTGTCGATTGTCGAGGCGGTCAAGGAGCACGGGACCCTGTGAGCTATCGGTGCTCGAGCGGGTTCGGGATGAGCCGAGGCTTCCCCATCTCTACCGAGGTGGTGCCGCGGGCAGTTCGAGACGCCCCGCGCGCCGTCGGGAGGCGAACTCTCGGCTTGCTGAACATGGCGGTCTCTAGGAGATCTCGGAGCTCGCCGCGGACCCGCCGCCCTTCCATGAGAGAAGGCTCGGGCATTGCGCGAACCAAATCGCGCCGCCAGCACCCACGACGTTCACAGCTAGCGCGATTGAAGATTGGGGGTTGCTCACTCCCTTCGTTGTTATGGATGCGGTGATGCACGTCGAGGGCCCTCCGTCGGGCTCCCCCGCCTTCGCCGCGACCTCGCTGTTCCTGTTCAAGAGAGTCTCGAAGCTGCTGCAGAAGGAGTTGGTCTTGCTCGACCTTGGCCTGGAGCTCACGGAGCTGTTCTTGGTCTGGCGCCGAGGTCGCGCAAAGAGCGACGTTCTCATTTCGTCGCGGCGGCGGGCGGACACGCACGGAGGTGTAGCGACGCCGCGCGCCGGCGGAGCGGGGAACGGCTACTGCCCCGCCGTCTCTTCTTCGCCTCTCGGCATCCCGACCTCGACATGAAAACATTCGCAGTGGGGTCATAGGTGCCTTCGTCGTCGAAGTCGAGTAGCCGGGCGATGATAGCTTACTGACCAAGAACCGGCGCAAAGCCCGTGGTTGTGGAGTCCGGAAAAATCCACCCCGGCCATGCCTCGCCCTCGTCCGAGGAGTCGGAGTGGGTGCTCAGCCGAGAGCGAGCGCCGCGGCGTTCCGAGGGGTGCTCGTGAGCGGCGGTGTAAGCGCGAGGCATAAGAGGCGGCGGCATTTCTCAACCCAAAGGGGTATGGGAACGTGCCGTCTCCAGATTCTCCCACCAAATCGGCTCTTCGAGGAGTGGTAGAGCGGAGCTTGACGACCGGCATCGCCAAGCGTGCCACGAGCAAGTTTCCTTTGTCCAAGCTCAGGGCTAGACAGGTCCCCGACCAGGACCCTGTACAACAAATGGTCGTAGGATATCGGCGGGGGTGGCGTGTCGCCCGGATTCGCGTAAGCGTCGGGGTGGCCTTGTTCGTGCCGTGCTTTGGCGAGTCTTGGCGAGCGAGCGCCGCCGCCGCCTGCGCTGGCTGCCGGGCGTAACTTCATCGTTGGTTGGTGGGGCTCGAGGAGTGAGGAGCACCAAGTCGTACACTCATGCCCTAGAGACATGAACTCTAGGCTCCCAAACCAAACCACGGTGCCGAGACGCAATGGTCGTCGTGCGTGGTCTCGCCATCCGAACTTCTTTGGGATGATGAAACCGACACGCAGCCGCCCCTACCTGGCGCGCCAACTGTCGGTGTTTCGGACCGGGGGTCCTCAACCGACTAGTGAATTTGTTCTGCGTGCTCCCGATTTCGGATGGTGATGCAAAGAGACACAAGGTTTATACTGGTTCGGGCAATCGAGGCCCTACGTCCAGTCTGAGAGATCGATCTTGTATTCCTTGCACCGAGGTGCTCGTAGTAGGGGTTACAAGCTAAAGGAGAGAGGGAGCTGGTCCCGTGTCTCGGCGGGTAGTGTCGTCTGGGCCGCTTGAGACGTTGCTCTCAGGCGGCAGGGATGTGTGTGTATGTGTGTGTGTGTGTTACAAGGTTTTTTTTCCAGCCCCTTAAAACAGCCCAGGTCCTCTCCTTTTATAGCATGAAGGGAGGACTAGGGTGGTACATGAGCTAACTATACGGCGTCGTGTGAACAGAGGCGGCGTGTCCGAGCCACAGCTTTGCTCCTATGGCGGTGTGGCCGTCGGAGTGGTCCGTCCTTGAGCACTTTGGGACGCGGGCGTGGCCCCTATCGATCCTCTGTGCGTCGTGGGAGCCCCGGACGTGCAAGCCACTGTGGACGGATCACAGGCGCGAGGCCGAGACTTGGTCGGTGTCGAGGCTGCACCATGGTGGAGGGTCTCGGCAGCACGATCCCCAAGATGGCCGAGACCTTGGTGTGCGGTGCCGAGGCCTCGAGTGGGCGGTGATCGTGGAGTGCAGATGTTAGGACACGATGGCCGGTAATTCCGCCGTGCCTGTCCCAAATGGTATGGCACGCAGATCGTGGATATCTGACGTTAGGACCACGATGGTCGGTAATCCCGCCGCCACCGTCCAAATGTATGAGGATACTGATGCGACCTTGGGTCGCGTCGGCCATTCTCAGGGCGTTGAGCCGTCGTCCACCGAGATTGCGGGAGTGGTTGAAGCATTAATGGGACATGACACGTTGTCCGGAGGGTCGGTCGAGGCGGGGGTGACGGTCAGGCGACCCGGCCTCGAGCGACACGGAGGCTGGGGCTCTCGCGAGAGACGGAGATCGGGTTCCTTGCCGAGGCCTTGCGATAGGCGCCTCGCGCGACATGAGAATGTACCCTGAGGCCTTCCTGGAGAGCCTCGGGCGAGACGGAGACGGCGCCCCCTGCCGAGGCCTACCCTGGGGAGCCTCGCGCGAGGCGGAGTTTGTTCCGAGACCTCCTGCTCGAGGCTCGAGACGAGGTGGAGGAGGGCTCGGTCGTGGCAGGTGAAGGGCCCACGGCTTACCTTCTAGCTTTATTTTGATATTTGCTTGGGGTACCCCATTCTAAGGTACCCGACACAAAGAGTCCAGCGGCGATGAAGCGCAAAACGCAATGTTGTGCCAAATACACTAAGCAGTATGCACCTGGTCCATAATAATTGAATGCCGTGGCATATATCTTGTTCTGCCACTTCCGTAAATACTGTTGGGATTGGTTGTAGGGTACTGAGGGTACTGAACATCTCATGCTACATGGTAGTGAATCACCGTCAGCCTGTTCGGTAGGTCCTGATACGATCGGATATGATCGTAGATTATTACTACTGGCTGGTTTAGCGTGAGAGAAAAATATTGTTCTGACTGAAAATTTACGATCGTTTACGACAAGCAAACAGTCCGCGTAGACACAACCCCTGATTCCTACAAAATCAAATGACAGATTTGGGGATTTATGATGTGTGTTATCAACTGTACTAGTGCACATCAGGCATATCTCAATAGCTACAGAAATCTAACAATGCGCAAGACCTAGACAGCTAGACTGCACACTAGCATAAGCCAAAGTTCATCATCAAAGAGAACTATGGGGAAAACATCAAAAGAAGTGCAGGTATCGTATCATTAATATAGATCCTGCCTTATTGATGTTCGTAGCCGGCCCACACTATTCATCCGAATGCTTGGCAATCCATCTGCTACATGCCTATATATCCATCACCATAAATCTGCAGAAGAAAAAAAACAACTGTAAAAATTGAAACATACAAACTACAGTAATCCCATTGCCCACAAAAGGCACTGCTTCACACATATCCAGTAACTTTTACTAAAAGAAAATCAACACAACCTGAACTCGCTGCCTAAAACAAACATATTATGTACCTATTTTCTGCAAGTGTTAAAAGATAGATATCATTCCTTGCAGTAAAAGATGATGGAAAGAATTTACCATGTGCTTGATATCTTAGCTAGTGTTTGGTTTGGGGGCTGGACATGGAAGTAGTGTAACTGGCATGAAAAGTATGAAACGCTCTACTATTTCCTGACAAGCTAGTAGCATCATACCATCCTAGAGTACTAGTAAGTCTAGATCACATGAGCAGAAGATATTACACTAAACAATCTGCAGACAGCATTTTGAACAATAGCAAAGCCATTGAAAGAACCTCCAAACCGCCTCAAACAGTCGAACAGTTGAACTATTATGATACATAAGTTTCAGAATATATACTTACAATGATGCTTCAGCTCCAAATCAGACAGATCAGTAATCACTGGACAGTAGGAGAATAGGAGTGCCAACTGACTAGGTTCTCCTGGTGCTGCATCTTGATCTTCTGTAGACTGTACCCAGGGCGAAAGATGAAGAGAATGTCGAATGTATATATCATTCGAAAAACACAATGCCAATCACAATCTTATTTCTCGTCGCAAGCGTGTATATTTTTCCTGCATTCTCAAGAGCTCTCTTGACAGTTCTTGATTCCCAGTCAGCATTAATCCATTCAGTACACGATTGAACATAAACCTTCTTGGCAAGTAGCCTCGATCCACCATCTCCACCACCATTCTGGCGGCCACCGCCGTATCCTCTGCCCTCTTACGCACAAACATTGCACTTATTATAATATTATATGTATCTTGGTTGGGCAAGCATTCCTCTCCCTTGCTCATTGTGTCGAACAAATCCAAGGACTTCTCGATCTCCCCTTCCTCAAATGAATACCTGATAAGAACATTGTGTATCTGAACATCAGGCTCACAACCTTCCCTCTTCATCCTATCCAAAAGCTTCATAGCTCGATCAATCTTCCTAGCATGGCAGAGGCCTCGGATCAAGACGGTGTAGGTAACCACATTTGGGACATAACCCTTTCTGATCATATCATCAAACACCGCCACAGCATCCTCCACGTTGCCCTTCTTACATGTTACCTGAATTAACGCATTATAAGTTGCAGTCGATGGCTTGCATCCTTCTCTAGACATTTCGTCAAACACTTTGCGGGCTTTGTCCAGCTGCCCGGCAACACCCAGCTCATGCAGTACGGTAGTGTACGATACGACGTCAGGCTTGCAGTTCTCGTCGTTGCTGCCTCTTTTCTTCATCTGGAGGAAGAAGTCCCATGCGTGCTGCAACTGTCCAGAACGGAAGAAACCTTTGAGGATGATGTTATAGGTTGCTTTCGTTGGGGCAATCCCTGACTCGACCATCTGCCGCAGGATGTCGAGCGCGCGGGAGGTGTCCTTGACGCGGCACCATCCGTCGGCCAGGGTGTTGTAAGTGACCGCGTCAGGGGGGAACCGCCGCTCGAGGGCACGGACGAGGGAGGCGGCCTTGCCCGCGTGCCGCGACTTGACGAGCGCATCGAGGAGGGAGTTGAACAACGGGAGGTCCTGCGCGACGCCGTGGGAGCGGTGGAGCGAGAGGAAGAGCCGGACGGCGAGGTCGGGGCGGCGGTGCGACACCGCAAACCGCTCGAACAGGATGGGGAACGTGCGCGGCGTGAAGGCGAGCCCGTGGCGCCGGAAGAGCGCGAGGATGGAGCTCGTGAGCTGGCGCGGGTGGCGCAGGCGCGCGGCGAGGTCGAGCGCGAGGTCGACCGTGCACGGGGAGAGGTCGCGCGAGCGCTCCGGGAGGCGGAGGAGAGCGTGGAAGAAGAGGAGCGCGCGTGGGGCGTGGTGCCACAGGAGCTTGATGACGGCGTTGGCCACGGGTGCCGGGATCGGGAGCGCGGACGCGGGGCCGGCGGCCAGGAGGGACGCCGAGAGGGAGCGCGCCGACGCGGCGGTGAGCGTGGAGGACGGATGGTTCAGGACTAGCGCGGCGATCTGGCGCGGGGATGGGATCGGTTTGTTTGGGGATGCCGGGGACATGGGTGCAGCGGAGGTTGGTGGTGGCGGCGGCGGCGGCGGCATCGGGGAATTTCGGTGACGGGAATAGAGAAATGTCGAAGAAACGGACTAACGGTCTCTTGGACTAATTAGCCGAATCGGCCATCCCCAGGAGCCTAGGAAAAGAAGGCCTTCTCCTTCACCAGCGAGCCCAGATGGGCGCAGCCCATGGCCTGCAATCTGATTTTGCCCCAATTGGCAACTATGCGGCCTCGCGCTATGACAAATTGTCATTTTGACATTGTGCTTAGAGCAAATCTCACTCTCTATAAAAATCGTTTTTCATATCTTTTTATCCTCCAATAGTTTTTTTATATCTCGTCGGCACTCTAGAGAGCTATTCTCATCTTCTATTTTTGGCTAACGAAAAATCCCGAGTAGAAGGTAGCTATATTTAGAAAACCATTTAGAAAACTATTGGAGGGTATTTTTTATCAAAATCTGTAACATTAGTAAAAATATAGAGAGTCTCTTAGAGTTGCTCTTACACTGTTTTTTTTCTTTGACACGTTGTGCTTACACCGTTACGGAACGATGATGCGTCAATTTCTTTGTAAGGTGAGTGTGTTGATACACACCATCGATCCTATAGGTTGTGTAAATCCGCATACAATTTTTATTATATGATAATATGATATTGATGAGAGAAATGGAGGTAAGTAAAGGACGTGTGGTTATTTCATCATAAAACAAAAAACTCATAGACCCTATTTGGCCTCTAGAAATTGAGAGGAATTAAAAAGTAATCTAATAATAAAATAGAAAATATTTTCTAGATATCGGTTTCAATTTATTTACTAAACAGAATCATAAAGTAAAATCTAGAGCTATGAGACAACATACACGAGTTGTTGTTCAGCCTATTCTCTTGTTGGTTTCAGTCAGGGCTTACCAGCCAGTCAACAGTGCTTTTCTCTCACAACAAAACAGCACCAGCCGGGCTTATCAGCTCAGAAACCAACCAACGAACATGCTCGTTATCATAGACCTCGCAAGATTTCCTTCGTTCTATGTACAAATTAAAGATCATGGAATTACCATGAGACAGACTACAGGATAAAAATACATTGTACTGGATATTTGTTAATTTTCTCTAGTACGTGGCACTGCATAAGACAACATTAATATATTTACTCGAAAAGCATAAATGCAAACTCAGATGGTCATAACACATGCATGCAAACTCACCCATGAATGCATCAATGTGCATATTACTCTAACGAGCATCTCGTTGTCGGCGTGTACATTGTCTACTGTTAGAAGAACTGCATCGCTAAATCTTGATACAAATTCAGTAAAATCTGAGCATCGGTGTTTAGTCAAAGACGTTTTTAACCTGGATGGATGTAATAGTTTTAAATTTTGTACTATGTTTTGGAAAAGACAATTGCCAGACGATCTTTAAATAACAAACACATGAGCATAAGAGGGTTTGACCTATACCAACCAAGACATCCATAACAGTAACCACTCAAAACAGAGTAGCAGACTAGCCATTTTTTTTTTATTTGGCCTTTGTTTTGTAGGGCTCCTCAAGGCGGAGCTGGGGGGGGCCATTTTGAACCGTTTTGTATCCTTCAAAATAGCTTCAGCTTCTCTTTTTTTTTTAAAATAAAAAATGGTTCTAAATACTAAATAACTTTGGTAGGGCTCTTTCATGGGTGTTGGAGCAAGGGAGAAACCCTAACGAAGAGGGCCTCCGTGAGTGTTGATAAGCCATGGCTGAAAGTATTGTTGCCTGATTTGTTGTGAGAGAAAAGTATTGTTCGTTGGCTGAAAAAGTATGACTTATAAGCCAAGCGAACATGGCGCAAATTACTGTAAACCTAACTTTTCTAGACAAATCTTCTTGTTCCAAGCATGCATTTAATAAAAATTTCTCTCCTCTCTGCTTCACTCGTTTCCTAGACACCCTAAGTCACTCACTGATCACGCTGGAAGCAACAAGGAAGGCAGCCGCCTCTTTTCAACATCACCAGCATCATTAAGATATCATAAATCCCACTGCTGACTGCCCCTCTCTCTTAGATCTTAATCTATCCATTTTATTTGAGATTAAGATGCAGTCAAAAGCACCAGCCGGACGGAAACAGCAGCGGCTGATCCAACGAGGCGGCAAGCGTAATCACATGATTCGGCCAGGAATAAAAACTGTTGCCTGTTGTATAAACTGGCTGTTAGTAGAACAAACAAACCAGCCACAGCGTCCAGCGAGGCTTTTTGCGCTGCTACAAAACAACACACCACGCCGCCGCCGCTCGCCGCCCACTTCTCTCCCACCTCCCCTCCACTCTTTGCTTCTCGCGTAGGGGTTAGAATCCCATGGCGCTGTCGTCCGAGATCCGATTCGGCCACCAGATCCCCCTGTCCCACTCAGACACCGACTCCTACGAGGAGGAAGAAGAAGAGGAAGAAGAGAGGAAGAAGAGGAGTTCGAGGGGGAGGAGGAGGAGGAGATGGATGAGGTGACGGTTTCGTCTCCGCTGATGCTGCCGGCAACGGAGGCCAGGGGAGGGGTGTCCGTGGTTGAGATGGTGACGGGGGCGCTCCGGAGGTCGCTCATGTTGTGCAGCAGCAGCGCTGGCGCCGGCGTGCGCGAGCCGGAGGAGCTGGAGGAGGACGGGGCGACGCCCCCGCCGGGTATGCAGATAGGGGGACCAACGGATGTGCGGCACGTCTCGCACGTCACCTTCGACCGCTTCGTCGGCTTCCTCGGCCTCCCCGCCGACCTCGAGCCCGACGTGCCTCGCCCCGTGCCGAGCGCCAGGTCAGTGTTCCAACACCTTTGCTCCCCCCATTGTTTGATCTGCGTATGTACATAGTTTACTGCCCTGGATTCGCAGACAATTTTGTGGGTGAACTCTGCGACTGGGATTCCGCCCCCAGAAATTTGGAATTTGGCGCCTGGTTGGACTGAATTTTGCGTCGTTCTGACATTAAGCTAAGTTGTCCAACAGCGCCACCTAACTAAACAAACATGTCACAGTACGATAGCTGTTAGCTTTCGGGTTTACACATGATGACGCGATGAACCGATAAGGCTGTTGCTTTGTGATCGTACCTCATTTTCAGGACAGCTGCTGTTTCCAAGGCTGACATGATCAAGTTCAGCTACTGTCGAATATTCTAAAGTGCTTTTCCTGTGGGAAATAAGTCTGTTTGTACTTGCCAGGGAGTGGGATATTGTGATGCTCTGTCCTTTTTAGTTTTCTATATTCATTTCCATGCAGGCAAAGATACCTAAGTTTATTATCGGTTTTTTTAGTTAGTGTCTATCTGTTCCATTGTCCTGGTATTGATGTACCTCATCCATAGCCTTTGAGTTGCACTAGGGGATTCTACAAGTTTAACACCTTCACTTGTGTTTACCTGAAGCCTAACTGTATTTAGGTTTACTAAATGGTATATTTCTGTATACAGTGTAAGCGTATTTGGAGTTTCACCAACTTCCATGCAGTGCTCGTATGATAGAAGAGGAAACAGTGTGCCAACAATACTCTTGACTATGCAAAGGAAGTTATATTCACTTGGGGGTCTTCAGGTAACAGATGCGAAAATTTTGAAATCAGAGTGGCACCACAGATAGTTCTGAATTTTTTTTGTTTTCCTTGTTTGATTAGGCTGAAGGGATATTCAGGATAAATGCAGACAATAGCCAGGAACTATATGTGAGGGATCAACTAAACAGGGGGGTTGTTCCAGATGGTGTTGATTTGCACTGCCTCGCCGGACTGATAAAGGTTTGTTCGATTGTTTACCTTTTCTGTTTTCCTTTTGCATTGCCTTTGTTTTGTTAACTTGGCAAACTTTTGCATATATAGATTGGCAGTGTCACTGTCTACAACTTTAATATTTAGTCTTTAAATATGTTCATTCAGACACACCCAATAACCAATACACTGATCAATATGAAGCACAAAGTATAGCTCAGCAAATTAAGATTCCTTTTTATTTAGTTTCTCTTCTACATTAGTCATGATTAATGTAGGGGTTGCTGATTATAGGCATGGTTTCGGGAACTTCCAAGTGGAGTATTGGACTCGTTTACTCCAGAACAAGTGATGCACTGCAACACTGAAGAAGAGTGTAGCCATCTTGCAAGTACCCTACCTCCTGTTGAAGCAGCATTACTTGAATGGGCCATCAATCTCATGGCAGATGTTGTGGAAAATGAAAGCTACAACAAGATGAATGCTCGCAACATTGCTATGGTTTTTGCACCAAATATGACCAAGGTTACTGGCAAGCATATTTGTTTCTCTCTGCCTACATTTTTTTCAGAATCTGTAGTCTAACCACGGAGCATTGATCTCTTTCAGATGGCGGACCCCTTGACTGCTTTGATACATGCAGTTCAAGTGATGAATTTCCTCAAGACACTGATCTTGAAGACTGTAAATGAAAGGGAGGAGGCTGCTAAAGTAACCAGGGCATTCCCATCGAACTCTGGTTCCCTCAGCGACAAAGATGAACCTCAAACTTTAGAGCATTTGGACATGCCCTTTGTCTGTTCAAGTCAGCAAAACGTAGATTATCCTATAATTGATGAGGCTAAGCTTGATCAGTTCCTTTTTAGAGTGGAAGAAGCTCTTCATCATGAGACCCAAGGCAGCACTGATGGACCCAAGAATCATGACAGTAGTAGGGGTGACCAGAAAAGCAACAGTGAAATTACTCCATTGGACACTGATTTGACCAGCCAAAATGAGTTCAGTAACAACAATGAGGAAGGTCTCTTTGACAAATTTAAATTTAGGAAAGGAGTAGGGAGGCTCTGCAGACACCCTGTATTTCAGTTCAGTAGGTCCATGAAGAAGTCCGATGAAGCAGAGCAAGCTTGTGTATAGGGTATGCGGTATGCCTGTGTAGTTGATAACGCCGCTATTTCTGCAGCTTGTTTACTGTGTAGGTCTTCCGCTATTCTCCTAGATTGTGTGCCTAGAAGGTATTAGCCCCTTTATTAGTACTGATTTGGGTGTATATGTCACTATGTCAGCTGGTCACTTCTCATCGTCCTAATTGTTAGAAGCCAAGATGTGGATCTATTGTAAGTGTACTGATTATTATTGATTTGTCAGATACAATCTCTTGTATGATTTTCATTTTACGCGACGATTTGCTTGGTGCTTAATCTACCCTGCAGTGCAGCAGTCTCCGACATTTTATCTTGTGATTGACTGTGCACCTTTTTAAACAGTAAGTCCTTGTGTTTGTAATTTTGTGTTGTTCCGCATGGATCTTCTATAGGCGGCGACTGACGAAATCAGGTTCCTTTGCTGACTGCATCCGCAGCTCGTTTCTACTCAACTCCTGCTTACACCAACGCTAATCAAGGAGTAAGCACCGCGGGGCCAGCAAGGCAGCAACTCTGCTACAGTACTTAATCCTAAGAGAGCAACTTAGGCTCACTGGGAAGAGGAACCACTAACAAAGTAACAACGGAACCTCCGAGGCAAAGTTGCTACTATTATGCTTCGGCTTCTAGAAGAATTGAGTCCGCCAATCTTGAACGTTCTCATTGTTCTGGGATCTTTCTCGCTGGTGTTTTCCTAACCATCCCATCAAGCCAACGTCGACGGCAAGTTGAAAGAGACATGCGCGATGCGCACGTTTATCCCGCCAAAGCAGATACGCGTGCTTTGACAGGAGCCCGCCGGCCCGTCGGTGGCTCGGTGCGCTGCCACAGCGCCAGCGCCACGGCTCCCTACCAAATGCAGCAGGGTTTCAGAACGTGGCTCCCTATCAAATGCGGCAGGATTTCAGAATGTAAGGCGCACGAATTTCTAACCCTTTTGCCATCAGCCCATCAGAAACAAGGCAATATTCCGGTATTGCTTCAACACCAAGACGTCCAAAAAAGGATCGGATAAGATTTCACGCTAATGTGTAGCTCCACTGGGCCATATGCGCCTCTCATCGTGTCGAATTGGATTTGCCTTCCTGAGCCAGAAAGCACGCGGATGACCAGATACACGGCATGCGCATGCGGATGCGGTGGGCACTGCAGGTTCGCACTTCGCAGCGTGTTTGACGAACCGGCCGCGCGCGAGTATATAGGCGCGCGTAAAGTAACCCGGTCCTGGATCGGAGGCCGGAACCGTGAAGTGCAGTGCCGCAGCAGGTCTCCTCCCCCCCATGGAGCCCCGCAAGCCGCCGCCTTCGACGACAGCTCCGCCGGCCACGGCGGCCAGCGAGATAACAGGAGGTCCAAGTCCAGCTGGGGCCGTGACGGCGCTGTCCGGGTCGCCGAGGCAGGCTCCCTCATCGTCGTCCCATGGCGCGGCGGTGGCCGTGACCGCGAGCCTGCTGGCCGCCGCGGGGCTCGGCGGCGGGGCGCTGCTGGCGTGGTGGGCGGTCGCGTTCCGCCGCGCGAACGCGATGCTGTGGATGGTGCCCGCGGGGCTCGTCCTCCTCGGCACCCCGCTCATCGCGTGGCTCTCCGTCCTCGTCGCCTCTGGCACGGCGTCCCCGCCCCGGTCCCCTGCTGACGATTTAGGCTCTGCACAGCTGAGCTAACTGGTTGTCTGCTAACCATGGCGCACGATCATCGATCCTGGCAACTTTTTGATTTGTCAATCCATCCTCAGTCCTCACAAGTATCGATATATCTGAACGGGCTGCATGTTCTTGGTCCTGGGCTTCATGCTAACCAGATGTCAACATGAAGCCCTGTCGTCTTGGATATCGTCCGCCACGGTGCGAGCCCAAGGCTCAAGGCCTCATGCTGGGTCCAATTGATCCTGCGCGTGAGCGCGTCCCAATCCCATGCTCAGTTGGGTGCAGTGCTGGGCCTTTTTTGCTTGGGCCCAAGGACTCAGCGGCGGCGTCTCTGGAAGGCGCTTGGGCCTTTTTGCCGTTAGATAGATCGAAATGAAAGTTGACCGCCGCAGTTCCAGACTTCCGAACTGATCCCCTCGCTCCCGTTCTCGACCTGCCTGCTCAGTTGCTCATGGTCCCAGCACCCAAACATTCCCCATGAAGACTGCTGGAGCTGCATCCAGAGTGATGAATTTAATAAACAAAAAAAAATCATTTCCTCAGTCTCTCGCGGCGTGTACGTATCCGTGGAGATCATGTTGAGCTCTCACGATCAATACAGTCTTTCAGGGACAGAACCCAGCTGTCCTGTATAATTGCCCACACGGTACGGACGCAAGGGCCACAGGGCCGGGGAATGCTTCCGCCCTGTCCAAAGCATTGCATTGCATGCTCCTGGTCACCCTGAGGGGACCTTGGTTGGAGATCGACTGGAGATTGGAGTGTATTATGACTCCAGATTGCGCACTTTTCACCCCTTTTCACGATTTTTACTTGGCATCCTATCTGGTCAGGCTTACATCTAACAGATCGATCCCATCCCACTATAGTTTATTATCGCCCTGTTCGCTTGGGCTTGTTTGGCTGATAAGCCATGGCTGAAAGTACTGTTGACTGATTTGGTGTGAGAGAAAAATATAATTCGTTGGCTGAAAAAGTACGACTTATAAGTCAAACAAGTCCAAACGAACAAGGTGTATGCAGTTGATGCGTACATGAAACACTAAGCATGCAGTGACACAGGCACGCGTTGACATAGATAAAAGAAACAGTACAAATCCAACATAATATAATGCTAGTACTTAAAAGCCAACATAACTAAGAACCATCACGCATCCACATCGCTTTTCGTGGGGACATGATTCATACCTCTCCACGGTAGCGCTAGCGCGCGTTGATTTTACGTGATCGAATGCTAACGGTTTTAAGAAACCACTGTAGAAAATTAGCTCTTTCCTCGTACTCCTCTCCTCTGTGTTGATTAGCTAGGAATAGGCCCTAGCTAGGAATCATGGAGTTGCTTGAGAAGCCGAGAAGGTATAGATCAACAAGAACCCATTGCCTCCATGGGTTCTCTTCTCGATGAAGTGTTTAGTTTTTTCTGTTCATGGCCCTTCAACTAGGAAAAAACTTGGGCACGGACACTCCCTAAATACCCGGCCGTGGAGATGGTTGATGACACGAGTCAATACACAAGCATTCAACCGCGTTAATTCAGAACCATTCTATAAATCTAAGAGAAGTAGGAGTAATTGATTAGAACGAATATTATTACATAAAGTTAGAAAAAAGCATGTGTGATTGGATTATTTTTTTGAAGTTATGTGTGATTGGATTTTTTTCGAAGATATGGACACATATTGTCAATTAGCAGTAGTTTCTCACGGTGGCCGCTCGCAGTGGGCCACTAGTGCTAGTCTTAGCCCTTAATTAAGTGAACAAATTGTTATTTTTCAATAGCCAAGCACAATTAGCACTACTGCCTAATGTAATTGTCCTAGTCTTTGGCTAATCGTGTGTCCGCCCCTAGCCGCACGAGGACTGTCCTCATCTCTTTTTTTCCCTTTTAACTCCTCGGACTGTCAATTGTCCGACTCTTGAACTAAACAACGTGACCAGAAAACAGCGGCACAATTCCGGCGGGATGCAACAGCGGGTCGTTGGCGATTGGCGAAGGAACGAAACGTGCCCCCCGGAATCGCCCCGTCGTCCATGGCAACGGCGCGCGCCACAGAGAGTTTTTATGCCCAACTTCCCACAGACCCACACTGCAGGTTTGCAAGTAACCGATGGTCCAATGCGCCATCTCGGGACCTGCAGGCGTAAGGTTGGCACATGCGTGAGGGCACGTAGTTAATAACGCAACTGTGCCATCTGCAATCCTGCATCTTTTTGCAGTGTTTTTTTTAACACTTCGATTTGCAAATAGTTACAAACTGTGCAGCTCATTCATTAGCGCCTTGTGTTGTTTCAATTCAATCTCACAAGAGGGAATCATTGGAGAGATCGAACCGGTGGCGTGCCGTGGCGCCTGCCGATCCGTTCGATTCGAGATCCGACGGCTTCCGAACGTCCCATACTTCGATGCAAAACGCCGGTGCCACTCTGATGGTTGGCAACAGGCAAGTTGGGCTCAGACGCGCCCATTTGCGGGGTCGGGGACGCTGGCCGCCTCGCTTTATAAGACGTCGCGAGCCGTTCCAGCCTTGCAACACGAAACCCAGACGCCCAGACCCCAGACCCACACACCACACCACTGTCCTCTGCGCAAGGCTACCACACTCGGTGAGGTAGCGGCAGGAGCACGAGCCATGAAGAGCCCTGCCGTTCCGGCCAAGAGGCACCACGGCGGCAGCGGCAGCGGCGCGGGGTTCGCGCTCGGCTGCGGGTGCAAGGAGGCCAAGAGCGTGTCGGTGTCCGTGTCCGCGTCCGCGTCGCCGTCCGCGACGACAACGGCGACGCGCCGCAGGAGCTCCAGGCTGAACCCGTGGGCGTCGACGACGACGGACACCCTGACCACCCTGACGACCGCGTCGTCGTCCTCGCTCTGGGAAGACGCCGTGGCGGAGTTGGGCTACAAGGACGGCGGCTGCCGGATGCTGCCGGAGACGGAGAGCGCCGTCGCCACGCCGAGCTTCTCCGGCCTGCTGCGCGAGCTCAGCGAGCTGGAGCGGAGCGTCGCGTCGTGGGGCGCCGCGCGGAAGGGAAGACACCACCACCGCGAGGACAAGCTCTCCCCTCCGGAGCCGGCGCCGGCGCCGGCGCTGCTGCCGCTGCGGCAGGAGCACAGGAGAGCCAAGGGCGAGCTCATCAGGGACGCCAAAGAGGACCGGTTCGTCGACGCGGGCTCGGGCGCGGGGCTCGACGGCAGCGTGGCGGTGGTGAAGCGGTCGGACGACCCGCTCCGCGACTTCCGGCGGTCGATGCTGCAGATGATCGTGGAGAACGGGATCGTCGCCGGCGAGGACCTGCGCGAGATGCTACGGCGCTTCCTCACCCTCAACGCGCCGCACCACCACGACGCCATCCTCCGGGCCTTCGCCGAGATCTGGGACGACGTGTTCGTCGCCGCCGCGTCCCTCGACTGCTGCGCCAGCCCGGCCGGGCGGACCTCCTCCGTCTCGCGCCGGGAACTACCGAGCAGGCCGCCGGTGCCCAGGACGCCGTCACGCCACCGCCGCTCGCCACCGGCGTGGCGCGTATAGTAGTGGGCACTTGTCGTATACGTGCATTGTCTTTCTCTTTTGTTACCCGGGGTGGCAATGTACGTGCGCTGCTCAAAGGCAATACGCTACATCATTTTGTTCCATTTCCGCGTATTGGAGAACGCACGAGAATGTGGCACTACTTTTTTTGTTTTCTACTCCTACCACTACCGGTGACGGTGAACAAGATAGATCGAGTGATGTTTATGGCGCTAATCATGGCGAGACCTGGTGAGAAGGGAAAGGACGTGGAAAGGCGTTGCGTTCTTTTAGTTTTGTCCCGTTCGCTCGAACTTATCGACCATACCGTTTTAGATAACAAATCAGCATCAGCATTAGTATCGACGGATAATAAATCAACATCAGCATTAGTATCGGCGTAAGCCGTTTTTTTTAGTCAGCCGAACGGGTTGGATGGAATCTGGATCGATGGCGACGGAGGTCAAGGACGGGCACCCGTGGCCCGGGCCCGTCTCGCGTCGCATCGCACTGGCACGCGCGTGCCCGTGCGCGCATGGAGTTCAGCGAGGGCTGCGGCGGTGGTTGGCGCGAGCGCAGAGCGAGAGGCGAACGAAACCGCTGCCATGCCGCACCCGCATCGTGGTGGCGGTGCGCGCGGTCGGGGGGCGTCACGTACGTCCTGCGCCATGATCAGCACGGCAACGGTGGAGCTAGCGTGCGTGCGTGTCCCTTTCTGCCACCGCAGCATTCCCTTCTCTCCTGCCGTGGCCGTCGCCCGTCGCCCCCACCCGGGGGGGCCTGGCTCCTGGAACTGCCAAAGCTTGTACTGTGCCCAGCACTGTTCCAGCTCGTGCGTAGCCGCTCTCACACGCGCCGGGCATCGCTAAACTTCAAATTACATCGCTGCCAAAGTACCAGCTTGTATCATTGTGCGCACGTAATGACCACGGTCCACATACCCATCTACTGTGCTGGATCAGCAATCATCTATCATGCTCATCCCCGGAAAAGATGAGGAGCTCCTGGCCTGCTTCGGTCGCCTCCCCGTCGCTCACCCCGGGGCATCGTATCGTATCGGCATCGCATCTCCAGCTGCGTGCCGAATTGGATGCACCCGGCCGGCGCAATGATGCACGTACGCCGAATACAGATCGCGTACGTGTACGTATGCCGTAACAGCAAGGAATCCATGGCGGGTACTGCACCAGACATGCCGGCATGTATGGTGCACCTAATTTCTTCCCGAGGCGGGCCGCGGGTGCTTTGTTGTTTCGCGTGGACGCGACCGGCACGGACGGGACAAATTCCGCCCAGCCCGGCGTACGAGCCACGGGAAGAGACAACACGAGAGGGGCGCGAGGGAGCCCCGGCCTCCGCCCGCAAACGGTTGTCCGCACCCTCGCCTCCGGCATCCTCCCTGCGTCATCGCAGCCGATCGATGCATCATGCCTGCGCCGATCTTTCGGATCTCCGAGAAATGCTCCCGCGGGCAGACCGACCATATGACCGGTGATCGGAATCTGATTCGTTCCG